AAAAGGATGAAAAAAGAAAAAGAAAATACAAAAATTAGCCAGGCGTGGTGGCGTGCCTGTACTCCCAGCAACTCGGGAGGCTGAAGCAGGAGAATAGCTTGAAATGGGGAGGCGGAGGTTGTGGTGAGCTGAGATTGCACCACTGCACTCCAGCCTGGACAACAAGAGCGAGACTCCATCTCAAAAACAACAACAACAACATAGTTATCGGTTGAATACTGCCATTAGCTTGGAAAGAAAGGGGCATATTTCGGGGGAAACACAAGTACAGATTTGGACATACACTGAGACTGCAAGGAGAAGGAAAAAAAGATGACGCAAAGGCAGCTTAATAAGACTTGGGGCTGTTTAGATGTTAAAAAAAAATGTAGAAACTCACAGCCTGGAAACTAGAGCATCGAGAGCACTCTTCTGACACCACAAACTCTTCCACCAGCCAGCATGGCAAATTTGAGGTGCTCACTGAAAGGAAAGAGAAATGCCAACCCTTGACCATTCGGAAAATATTTCTCCCCAAAGACTGCCCATCTAACTTCCCAGCACAGGGCCTGCCCTCATTCCATGTGGTGCCGCCCTTTTCCACCTTTGTTCTTGATATATGGGGAAGATACTAAAACCAAAAACAAACGACGGAAGTGTCGGGTTCCCAGACAATCACCCACCTGACAGCTTCTCCTCCTGCACTGGAGCCTCTGCTTGGCTGTAGCGGAGTGGGGGGAAGGGGCAAAAGTCAAAATCCAGAAAATAGGGCACCCTCTTCTCTGTCCATGGACAAGGTCTCCCCCAACCCCGGGACCGGGAACGATCCTGTCCTCCAGTGACCTCCTTTCCCCTCCCATTACCCTCTCCTTACCAGAGCTTTAAGGTGAAAGCACAGAGCAACCAGCAGAGGCGGCGGCCCTGGGGGAGGCCATGCCTCCCCGCGCCCGCAGGCATGGAGCGCCCAGTGTCGCACCTGTCGGAACAGAGGGACCTACTCCACTGGCCTCGTGCCTCCGTCGGAGCGCAGAGGCTGCACTTACTCTGCAGCCCTCCCAGAGGTTCCACGTCAGGGCGGGAAGGGCCGGAGTTGCCTAACGGGCAGAGGTTCTATCGGGACATTCCCGTTGCCACAGCGAGAAAAATCTACACGCATCTGCCGGCCAGAGAGGCAAGCGCCTTCTGCGGGGCCCGCAGGGCGCTGGACGAAGCGCCGGCTGGGACGCGCGGCCCTAGCGCCTGCTCACCTCCGCTTCCGCCCCCGATGCAACCATCTTGTCCCGTGGAGGATTGCCTTTGCGCGCGGCCGGTGTTCCCGGGCGCGTCGAGTCGTCGCCCGCTGGGGATTGTAGTCTTCCGCGGTCGGGCGCCTCGCCGGCTGCTCACTGGGAATGGACTCGGCGCCCCATTGCATTATGGTCCCGGTAGTCTTTCGAGAAACGGACAATGGCGGTTACCGAGGCTCGTCCGGATTCTCGGCTCGCTGCTCCCTGGCTGGCGCCTGTTTGTTCATTCTGGGCTAAGTGAGCAGGGACGATACGTCGCCCTCTCAGAACTTTGCTTCCTCCTTAAAACCCTAGGTGTCATCATCAACTTCAGTTTGTCTGACATCCTTCCCCAATCGACCGCGATGGTCCAGTGGAGAAGCTGTGTTGGAGGTCAAGGGATGAAGGCGAAACTGCGCTTTCTCGTTCCCACAGAAGCGGAAATATCCGGGACACACGGTGAACGTGAAACTTCCTTCTTGTCTGAGCGCTCCCACTCCGCTACACAGATGAACGGTGTCACCTTCCCTCATGTTACTTGCTAAGCCTACTCCACAGAGCTGGTCCTTTGCATAACCTCTTAAAATATTCTCAACTGGCCGGGCGCGGTGGCTCACGCCTATAATCCCAGCACTTTGGGAGGCCGAGGCGGGTGGATCACAAGGTCAAGAGATCGAGACCATCCTGATCAACATGGTGAAACCCCGTCTCTACTAAAAATACAAAAATTAGCTGCATGGTGGCGCGTGCCTGCAGTCCCAGCTACTCGGGAGGCTGAGGCAGAAGAATTGCTTGAACCCAGGAGGCGGAGGTTGCGGTGAGCCGAGATCGCGCCATTGCACTCCA